GAGGGTTATGAAGCAATGACTATTTCTGAGGCAAAGTCAAACTTGAAATTGACCAACATATTAACTTAAAACCATTAATAATTAATTAAAAAACAAAAAACAAACAAAAAAAACATTTATAATTTGTCTTTGCACCAAATATTCTTAAAGCATTTGTTGTAGGTGGAAGTTTCTGCATCTTATTTTTAAAAGTGACACCACACTTTGGACGGTTTTGCTTTCCACATCTCGACTATAATATATAATATGTAACTGTTCACTGCAGCAACACCTGTTTAGCCCCTCTCCATGAACTCTGTTCTACTCGATTCACTTTGGGTCGGGTCGGTTCTGCTCAGTGTATGTGTGTCTCCACGCAGTGTGTCCCTCACTCTGTGGGTGTGATAATGTGTGGACCGTACGCAGCGGCTTCAACTGTTGTGTTAAAAGATAATATAATAAAATAAATAAGCCTGTGGTCTTACCATTCAGACTTCACTTTTCATTTATTTATTTATTTATTTATTTATTTATTATCACAATGTTGTTTTTTAGCTAAGTGCTTGTGTAACCGTGGGCGGTCAGTTTGTTCGTAACCTCCTGTGATCTGCTCAGCTTCGTCTCCTTCACGTCTCTCCATGAAGTGTTAACAAGTTCTGTCTTTCCCAAAAAGCCGTTTTATCATTGCTTTCACCATGTAGTCGTATCGCGCCGCACGCTCGTATTCCTAAACCGGGGTGGGCAATCCTGGTCCTGGAGGGCCGCAGTCCTACATGTTTTACATGTTTCCTGCTCCAACACACCTGATTCAGTCACTGAACTACCTCTTCATGTTCTGCAGTATGGAGGACCAACACTGACATAATTAGAAATAAAAGCAGAAATAGATAAATGAACCTTTAATTTACATTATTATTTAAAATACATTGAAAATGCACCAAATAAATAAAAAAAGAACTTCACCTCATGTTTTATAATTTAATTGACCTTCATATTTATTTATTTTTCCAGCTTAACAAATTACATAAACACATAATTTAAATTTAATGTTTTTTAATACATATTTTACATGGTTTTTCCTTTTACTTGTACATGCATTTGTGACTCTTGAATGCTTAAATTTAGTTTTTTTAATGATTTTGTCCAAGTCTTCTTTTAAGCAGATCTTCAGACATTTCATGGATGGCTTCAAGATAACCTTTTGTCAATTAATGTTAAAAAAACTGTGTGCACGTATTTTTCCTCACCCAGGAGACATTTCAATATAACAAATCAACTCACTTTTTTAAACAAACCCCTTGATATTGTCACTACCTACAAATATC